CTGCGTCACAGACCCACTGTGCACGAAAGGTTGCAAATGGCAAGATGAATGCACAGCCGGCGCCTGGCGTTGGTATCTCTCGGTAGGCCCCACCAGTGTTGACCTGTCATAGGCAGAGTTAAGGTACTGAGAGAGAGAGGGGGAGACAGAGAGAGAGAGGAGAGAGAGAGAGACAGCGAGCGAGCGAGCGAGTATGGGAGGGAGGGAGAGGGGGTAGGGGACATCGCCTCGGCTGATGTAGAAGTCGCCGGCAAAGGCAAAGGCACCTTTTCCTTTCAGGGACTGTAGCATCACTTGTTGATGTGCTTCTTTTGGCTTGATCGCTGTTCCTTGAGTTCCAACAACGCCGCAAATCCGCAGCAGCTGACACCTTGAAAGCCCAAAACGTGAGCAACAACGTCCGGCAAACCTTCAACAGCGTGGGTCCTAAGCTCCAACAAGGCAAAATCAGAGATTGATTTAACACTCAAGCCCACAAGGCCCACAAGTAACACATCCAATCAAAGTGGCTAGTTGCATTTCTGTCACGAGCACTGCGGTTGGCTGGGTTGCTCTGATGTGTTGATGACAATAAGAAGCACTGAACACCTTGATTAGCCGCACAGGCCCAATGTGTCGCAACGAACAACAAAGGGCTGGGCGCTTGTGATGCTTCATGACTTTACGCAACATGTAGAGGTTTCCCTGGGTTAGGCCGCCGTGGATGGGAGATAACCATGGGTGGGCCCACTTCAGCCTGTTTGCACGCCGTGTTGACTTCACACCAGGCATGTGTCCGACATGCAGAATCCCCTCAGCTTCGTGGGATTGTGCCTGTAGGCATCCATCCCGATTTTGTAAGGTAATTTATGCGGGAATCGATCTCTCACGACGGCAGCTGGTTCGAGAACAGAATCGGAGAGCGCTTTGGCTCCAGATCTTCCACAGAGAGAGAGGAGGGAAGAAGGGAACAGAGCTAGAGTGTGTGTGTGTGTGTGTGTGTCTAGATTCGCGGGCTGAGCCGAAGTGCCTGTTCGTATGCCCTGGCCTCGGCTGGCTTCGGCGTTGCTGAACTCGTCGAGCCCAAAGGCTCCTGGCACTCCCTTCTCTGTCCATGTGAAGCTCGACAGTAGCTACGTGGGACGGCAAGCAAGTCCCGGCATTCATTCGGAGTCAGGTTGTCGCATTCGGGGCGCCATGTGTGGTGACTGTAGTAGAATGATTTCATCCAAACGTCCGTGCACCCTCTAGAACTTGGACTTCTAACGAATCAAATCGCAGAGTTGACATGCATCTGAAACAGATTCCAACGACTCAGGGACTACACAGCTATGCACAATTGCCAGCGTTGATGGAGACCACCGTTTTGAGGCTCCACCCACCATTTCATGCAACCTTGCTTTTCTTTCCTTGAGCTGCTTTTTTAGCTGCTTGCCCCCGACCGCCCCCCCTCTTTTCACCGTCCACTCACACTGCAGGGTAGCTGGCTGAGGCGCCGCTAATATCCTCATCTGAGCGAGTCTTTCCGGATTGAAATCTGCCGGGGGTGGATAACCTGACAGGGCATCGGCCCCTTTCAGGCTCTCTTAGGGCTCGCAGCTGGCAGTTTTTGCGACCGTACTGTCAAGTAGCGTATCTTTAGAATTTAGAAATTACATGACGCTCTTCTGGATTTTGGAAGCATGAAGCCTATGGCCGAGTCTGGCTAGTATCCTCTCGGGGCCAAGCTTCAGAGCTTGACCTGCGACTCAAAACTGGCCGATCTGCAGGCGACCATGTCTGCTCTGCCAAGTGCCATAGTCCAACGGCACGTATTTTCTTTGCCGAAGCATCTTCAGACGTCGTCGTTGCAAATCGGGGGCATGTGAAAGCAACGCTACTTCATCTGCTCGCAGCATGCAGTTTACAAATTCAACTGTCGCCAAACATGTTCAGAACGGTCGCATGGGATGCTGCCCGGGAGCCTAGGCAGGACCCGCACGCCATGTGACGGAACATGACGGAACACATCACAATCGAAATGCGATCCTTTGCATGACATGTGGATTCCAGAGTATTCCAGAAATACATACTACTTTCTGTGAGCTGCTCCTACGTCTGCCATTGCCCATCGCTGACCTTCGAAATCAGCATGGGCCTGTACCACCTCGAGGCTTGAGGAATAGCAGGCGACGCAACGCGAATGGGCGGGAGCTGTGCCAAACGGTGGCCTGACCCTTCCTTGAAAACTCTGGAATCTCATTGCCAACTCCCGGCTTCTGGCCAACAGTTTGGAACAGCGCCCAACTGATCCTTCGGAAGCTCCCTGACTTCACGTGCCAATTTGCTCAAACAGGGTTGCTATTCATGGGTCCTCTTATTAGCCTCTTCCGCCTCCATGGCTGCTAATCTGTACGAACCGCTCTCGGCATCCCTATTTCATCTTCGTGTCTCCGAAAGCACAACACATCCTTTCACAATAAGCACTGGGGCCTATACACGCAAGCGTTGGTCCAAGAGTTATGGTGCTATGTGTGCTTGCACGACGCTTCTGCGCTAAAGCCCGGCCACCTGAAGCGAAGAGCTCCAGAGAAGGCACCATCCAAAGATATAAAAAAAGGCATATTGCAAATATCTGTCAGATTCCCCTACACAGAGGTTCATTTTGAGCAGATGTTGCTGGGAGGGTTAGATGGGGAGATCCGTGCCGGAAGACATGCCTCGTCCTCCGTCTGCGCTATGACCAAAGCATTTGTTGGGCATTGTGGGCGTGGACCTGTGTGGTCCTTGCTGCGATCTTCAACTTCTGCAAGGAGAACAGGGTCGTGTCTCAAACTTCAAAGTTCAGAAAACTGCCAAGGCAGCCCAACAACCTGGGGTTGCTACGTGAGATGTAGCGATGCAATACTTGGATTCATAAGGCTTCCTGGGCCCGCGTGCAGACAGAGGACGAGTACGTATTGGAGTGAATCGATTGGCTCTCTGTGCCGGTGCATTTCGACGAACCCCTGAACCCCTGTCAAGACTTTAATGCAGATCTCAGTTTTTCGACCAGGGCCAAAGTGCCTCGAAGAGTCTTCCTCCAAATTACTTTACAACCCTGTCTCGAGGTATCCCGAAGGTATTAGGAGAGCCAAATGCACAAGTCGAGCTCCCACGATATTTTCCAGATGCTGACAGAACTCCCGTGTTTTAGAGATAGAGGTTGCCCGTTCAACCTTGAGATTGTCGTGGAATCTGCGTATTTGTTTTGACGTGAATCTTCTATAACCTGGCTTCTGAGCACTGGATTGTACCTGCGGAGCTCGACTGGGCATTGTTTTCAAATGTCTGGTAGTCAGCATGGAACACATGTATTCAGAACCGCAAGGACTCGCGGGGTCTATTCTGTATCGCAGGTCAACCCGACCCCACCACGAATCCCTGCTTCTGCGACATGTCGTGCTCTGAGACTGGGAAGATCTCAACTAAGGATCCGAAAGCTGGCCGCCTGCAATTCGCGTTGCCAGTCCGGATCGAAAACTCAGCCGATGCCACTCGTTCAAAGTGGAGTTGCCGCAGTGAAGAGACTTCCACATAATCTTGGAAACTGCTACAATCCCAAGCCTCTGCTACGAAAGACTAATTTTTGTGCACAGCAGCACCAAGTTGCCAAGTGGCATATGCCGCTAACAGATATCGTGCATGCTCGCAGCCGTGGGCTTCACAGCCTATCATGCAGAGCATCGCCCACGATGCCAGCAGAAGTGGGAAGCAGTGCAGAAATCTTTAACGCCATGTCTTGCTCCACCTGAGACTATGTAGGGGTGTGCAGGTACATCTTCTTCTGGACACAAAGACACTTTGATTGATCCAAAGACAATTAGCAACGCTCCATGAGCGCGCTATTAAAAGGAGCGGACTCGCTTTGGGCACTGCCAGGTAAAAAAGCTACCAGACAGGTAAACATATAAGCTCACCACATGCTCCGTAAGGGAGGGCTTGGACTTCAGATGTTCAGAACGTTCGTCGTATCAAGCAGCTTTCCCACTTCTAGCTGACTACCAAGATCCCGACCATAAAACCATCTGACGCTGCTGGCCCATCAAGTCCTCAGTGTCAGTGGAAAGCTTGGAACTCGAGGAAGAATGGATCTCTCCCATTTTACTTCTTCTCATGAACTTCTCGTCAGATTCCATGCTAAGTTAGCTTGCAAGCTGCGGCCATTTCGTCACACTGGTCTTTCCAGTCTTCCTCCTCCTCGTCACTCTCGTCGTCGGAGGAGTCAAAGCCCTGGATCATCACGGCAAAACACACTTATCCCACTTTCACAGTCCCATTTCCCAGCTTCTCATTCGTGGGGCTGACACCAACGCAGAAATGACCGGATGCCAGAACAGAAAACAAAAACACTCCGAGAAGTTTCGCAACACCTCACGGGCAAATGTCGCCTTTTCTCGACAAAGTCGTGGACAGACCGAAGTCGTGAGTCCAAACCATTTCAACTCGCTCTTGACGCTAAACATACATAGCCCGATCCTGCCGTCGAAATTTAAATGCCATGATTTCCAGGCTCTGGTTCTCCATTAAAGTTCTAAGCGCAGTGCTGACTCGGGTGGACAGGGGTAACTATTTAACGGACAACAAACAAAAACATCGCTGCAAAAACCTTTTGCTGTTTTCTTCCGGGATCAATTTGGCAATTGCCCAGTGCACTGGCAACACCATGGAAAATTCAGACTGCGAGACCAAACTGACTGTCTGAGTACGTAGGCTACGAACCGTCGCGGGCCTCATCCGAGCATGAGGCTTTCCGGGCTTTGTGTCCGCTCGGGCCGTCGAAAGCCTCGCCGTCGAAAGGCCAATATCATGCAACATCTCAGTTGTCACTAGTTGTATCACCGCTTCTCTTTGCTGCGCTTGGAACCCGTTTGGGCCCAAACCTGCTTCTCCTGACGTCGCCACTTTCCTGAAACCCCTGCTGATCCGACCCGAAGCAACTTGGAATGAAATGATGCTCAATCAGCTTGCCAGCGATGGCTGCGGGCACAAACATATTCACTTCAGGGTCTCTTTGCCTTGGTGTGCAAGGCCCGGCAGTACTCTTCGCCCATCGCCTCGCCCTGAGGGTCGATGACGAAAAAGCCTGGATGCATTTTGAGGAAGAAGGTCAGAGCCTGGCCGCTGCCTTGCTTGTGGTTGCAAAGTCGGCCTGTAAGTCAGACCGTCACGACTTCGGGATCAGTAGATCGCGGAGAATGGCAAACGGACAGGACTCAAGGAAAACAGATCCCTTCTGCTCAGATGGGTCGCGGATGTCGGAATCTTGGAAATCGATGCCTCGGCTGTGTAAGCTGATCCCTCTACACTTGCAGTCGCTTGAACTACAGCCGCACTGCAACAGCCGAAGATCGCAGAGTCCAGTTTCATCGACCATGCGCCAAACACGAGGACCCGCCGCATAAACGGCCCAGCTGCTTCGCTGTCGCCGCGGCCCTCTATCATCGTCATCATCGTCAACACCGCCTTCATCTCCGAGGACCTCCGCAGAAAGAGAAGTCTGGTGAATTTCGGACGGATGTGCAGAACTAGGCGTTGCGCTTATAACATCATGCAGCGGTATCAGGCTCCACGGTCGTGTCATCTAGTTTAATGCTTGTGCAGCTCGCGTTCTTTTCTGAAAGCGTCCTTCCGATCGGAAGCTCTACTTGGGCCAATGCACCTCTGCCAACTTGCATTTTGGAAGACGCGACGGTGTTCTCGGATCACTAAATGGCCTCCAAGTTGATGTAAGCTCTACTATCGAGCCTTTCCTTTATGTGCTGACTGCAAGATGCTCTCATGGCAGGATAGCATTTTGGAGAGTCGGATGGCCAGGCCACTGTAAGGTCGGTCAACGGTGCCGGCCATCAGCACGGCTCAACGCACTAGGGAGGGAGGGAGAGGGAGAGAGAGGGGGAGGGAGAGAGATGTACAGACAGGCAAACGGGCAAAAGTCTTGAACAGTCACACTTGAAACTGAGCAGTCTGTACAGAGCACCTCTTGCAAGGTCTCGGACAACTCTGCATGGCGTTCCTCAGAGGAGATCCAGAATCCAGACAGGTGATGCAAGGGGCTGATAGGGTCTTTACGCTGCTATGCAGTCCGAGGTCATCACCTGCAAAAGGGCATCAAATGCGATGTCCTGACACAACAGATATCAGCCAAGGAGCTGCGTTGATGATGGCTGTGACCAGCTTGCGGCTGAGCTCTTCGTCCTCCTCGCCCTGTGCGTGGACAGGGTATACCAGTCTACAGGAAGCCCATCGACGAGACGATGCTCAAGCTTACAAGGCGATGTTGCGTACACCCTCGCAAGTCTCTGTCAAACCCTGAAACCAAGTGAATTGATTTTCCACCCTACCGTACCCCTTTTGCGCACTTGGCCCTGGCCTCTGCCGCAGGCGGCATTGCGCACCTCCCAGGCTTCAAGTTTCAGGTGAAACTCTCCGTTGCAGCCATGAATAAATGAATACTGTACCTCAAGACGGAAGGGAGAAAACTGCTGACTCGTTAGGTTCACCTACTCCGATCAAGAAGGCGCGACAGAGTAATTGAGTAATCCTGACAAAAGCTACAATTTCAGCCTACAGTAACACCATTTGGGGACAAGGCCTGCAGAATCTTGGCAAGTCCTGTCTGACAGCTATTTCCCTGACTGCGATGCGCCTCGCGCCAGGCGGATCCAAGTCCAGGGTGCGCAGGGCACGCTGCAGCCAGGGAGCCCTGCAACTTGCTCTGAAAGGTGTTTTTTTTTTAGAGCCTTTTTCCGTCTCGCTAGGAGTCAGAGAGCCTACAGGAGGCAGGCCTGTCAAAACACCTCTGCAGCTGAAAGGGTTTAGGGTTTAGGGTTTATGTTAACTATTGATGGTGCAACTCCTGCAAAGTGTTATAGAAGTTAGGAGGTCCTACTGAGGTTTGCATGGGCGCGACCCCGACACCAATTGACCCAACATACCAGCCTGGACTCACAAAAGTTAGTCCAATGGCAAACCATAAAGCGGAATGTAGCCTTCCCATTTTCGGTCCACCATCGAGGCTATGTCGCTGAGTCGAATCCATCAACCAATCAATCTCCTTGGTGCGATGCGTGGATGCATGCGGTTCACTACAGCTGGCATCAGAAACAAGATCCCTGACAAAAGGCATGGAAGACTTGCATGGCAACCTATGGCACTGTGAGGGCCGATTTGGTCTGCGGCGTGATCTGGGACCTAGCCCATTTTATCTGAAGCTAGGTAAAGTCTGCACTGCTAACTGCTAATTCTCGCAGGGTCAATAGGGGCTTGGAGTCCAAAAACGACGGTTGGGTTGCGCTGCTGAGCTCTATCCGAAGACCGGTCCGGGATGGTGCGGGAGAGGTAGCATTCTCGGACAGTCACCTATGGCAGTTCCTCCTCCTCGGACCCGACATTCGGCTGATGTCTGAAGTCCCCATTGCCAAACCCAGGTTGAGAACCGCAGGTAACGAGTGATTGCTCTCAAATTCTGCCCACCCTTCCCGCCCGGCCACCTGCCACAGCAAATCGCTGGGATCTTTTATCGTGGCCTGCACATGCAAGGGATGCCCACATCGACAAGGAAATGAGGACACGATCTGGAAGAGTCGAGAGTGAGTTGTAGAGGCCGACCTCATCTTCGGAAGGCGATGAGAGCGATCCGAAGGATGCTGTCGAGGCCGTCGATCTGGTTGAGCCTGCATGGTGCATGCTATACCATACGCGGGAAAAGCAGCATCATCTAATCACGATGTCAAATCTAGATTCTCTGCGGCCTGGTAATGAATGGCCATGTTTATGAGAAGTGGAGTCACTTGTAGAGTTTCAGGGCTAGCGCCGGCCAAGAGATGTCACGAGTTTCGAGATGTGGGAGCTCTGCGCGCCTGGGCCATCGAAGCTGTGTTCCACCAGGACCAACTTGCGCAAGGGCCCCGGCCTACAACGATTCGTGCTGGGGGGTTGGCCTGAATCATCAGGGCCTGGGACGTCTTAGTTAGGGAATCCTTGGAGGATGACGAGTGGACATGCAACTGTGTCTTCCAAAAAGCGGTCGGAGCGCTTCATTTACATGTGTTGACAGTGCCGAAGACCGACGTGCTCCGGTTCGTGCAGCCACGAGCAGCTTTGGGGAGTAAGGGGTGCATTGGCCTGCTTTTCTTGTTAAGTCTGGCAGTGTGCACCCTCCTGTTGCAATGATCGGAATGCAAGATTGAAACCATGCAGCGGCAAACTACGCAAAACACGGCGTTTGCGAAGCTTGACCCAACGATAGGTCATTCCTGGAACCCTTACTAGTTACTAGTTGTTGCAAAAATGGCTAAGTGTCAAATGCCTTCATCGATTGAATGACTGTGATGGTTCATTTACGAAATGGTCTTGCAGTGGGCATCTCAATGATACTGGTGGCAACTACGTTGGTGCAGCACCGAATTTCAAAGATGAAGAGCCTCTGTGCTGTGACTGCCGACGGGCAAACGGTCTTTAAGGACTGCACCCCGCGACTCATCGCGAAGTACAACTGCTCCATTCATGTAAACATGCTTCACGTCTGTGTTGAAGCGCCGCATTGGTCGTGCAGGTTCTTTGCACTTCCCCCGACTTCGGTCCCCAAAGCAGACAAAGCGCCCGAAGACCAAGCGAGGATTCTTCAGAAAGGAATACCTCACAAATCCAGAGCCAGAAGCAACCAACCACATTTCAGGCACTTCGCCATTGCAATTGCTTGGTCACCGGTGCCTACGAACTTTAGAAGCTCGTGCCTGGACTGCGTGGCCGGCTGTTCGCCGTCGCTGCCGCTCGGGGATCCAAAGCATTCCGAGGCTGCCTGGGTCTGGGAAGCTCATGGGGGCTTTCCGAAGGGGCTTCAGGGCCTTCAAAGCTTTCAGGGCCTTCTGATTCGGCTCATGCTGTTGGGGCTTACATGTCCCCAGGCCATTGCAGAAGGGGCAACGGAACAGCAAAGCTGACACACTTGGCATACAAGCAGCTTGAAGAAAGCCAACACAGCTGGCCCCAGAAAACTCTGGAGAAGCCGAAACCTTCGGAAAACAAGTCCAACAGACTGAGGCCGACTACCCCCTGCCAGCCCTGCGCGCGGCGCCGGGCCAGAGTAAGAACCTCGCATGCTTGGCAAGATGCGGAATGCGAAGATCGAGCTCCTTTAGGATCCCGGGGTGTCTCTTGGAGATGGCGGGCTGGTTCGGGCTGAATATATGCTAGAAGGCAGACGGCGCGAACCATGCCACTCCAGGTCAGGAACACTTCACTAGAAGACCCGTCTGAAAACATCCGGCACTTGGCGTTCATGGGAAGTGCGCTTCTAATTGAAGCGGAGAACCAATCGACAACCCGGCTTTCGAAGCGTAGACAGCGAAACTCACACACGGTGTGCACCTGCCGCTCCAGTTCGGGTCGCAGTTGGAAGGCCTCCACCAGGCATCGAAGTCACAGTCGAAGGTTTTTATGGATTTAGGAACCCTGGGGTTTCATGCCTGTGGCTGTGGGCCTGAAGCTTTGGGCTATAAGTTCGTCGATGTTTGACATGTGAAGACGCAGACTGTGTGGCCTGAGAAGCTGCCGCGAGAGGCCGAGACGATTGAGAGGGTGCGCTAGCCATTTCCAGTCACTTTGATTCAGTCGGCAGACTGTTCTGGACAGCTTTCAAGCTTGCAAAGACTTGACCCGCTTGTGGCGGCTGCCAAGCATGGCGGCTCCGTTGGATTCAGTGACAGTGCATGAAGTGTCGCGAAGCATGTCATTCGACAAAATAGTGGCCCATGATGCCCAAATGCCCGAAGAGCAGCATGGACATAGCTGCGGATGTCTCGGCGCCGAAGTCCGTGGCTTCTTGAACCGAGGTGCTGTCACCAGCCGCAGTGTCGGAAGCATCAAACGAGCCTCAGTGGAGCCTTGTGAGCGCGGCATTCCTCTTGCGTGACATTCTGGCATCCATCGCCAAATTGCATGCTTGGGATGTTGAAGTTGTGCACACCAATCTCTTATAAAATGCATTGATAGATCGACTACTTATATATTCCTATTGAATCCCATTGTCAACCATGTCTACCCAAACTTGGGCTTGTGCAAAAAGGCCATTGTGGTAAGCCATGGCCTGCGACCCGTGAAGGCCGCAGAAGAATTTAGGTTGAACAACACTCTGCAGCTGTGCCCGATGGTGGGGACAAAATCTCGAAAGGTTTGTTGAGGATTTAGGGATCAGTGCCGCAGTCTCAACGAACGTTGTCTCGGTCAAATATGATCCGAGCCAGAGGCCGAATTCAGTCCTCATGGTCGCGGAGCAGTCGCTATTGCCGCTCTTGTATCGTCGTAGGCAACCACGTGTGGCGCGTGGCATTCAGGTGGGGGACCTTGTAGAAGCTCTGTGAAGACACTGTATCGCATGGGGCGTTGTCACTCTGGAGTGGCCCTTCGCATTCTCGAGGCGTTCCCCGACCGCAGACACACGCTGCTGGGCAAGTGAAATTCGGGTCACCGGTGAGGTCGCATTGAGGTCCGGATCGCCGGAGTCAAGAACACTCCGGCGGCCAATTACAGAAACTGACCCTGTCACAATTGGCTCTGAACACTACACGGCAAGAGAGCAAGCTACTCCTTGAAACAAAGGATCGTGTTCGTGGCTCGCATGAGCATTCAAAACAGCCTGTTGCGCAAGGAGCTTCAGCACACAAGCACAAACGGCGTGCGAATAATTTCCCGGAAAAGGCTCCAAGGAAGAGAAAAGCCATGAAAAGGTCGGAGTTTGTGTGATGCACCGGCCTCGCAAATTCGTCGCATGGCCTCATCGACGTGGAAGCCACCTTCAGAAGCTTCAGTTTGAGTTGCCCTCACCTCGACTTCAGTGTTTTTACCTACTGGCCTCTCGGTGACAGTTGTTCATAACTGCAAGTAATGACCATGGATCGGGTGGTGTCCGCACCACTCCGCACAATGTGCAGTTAACAAAATGCTATTCAACGTCAATTGAGTTCATGTGACTGTATGAAAACTGACAATGAACGGCCCCAAAGACTCCAGAGACTACCTGAATGCAAAGTCCCTGCCCGAAGGCCGAGAGAGGTGGTGCGGAAGGCATGCGAAGCACTCGCGACAAAATGGTCGAAGCATCTTGCCCCAAGCGCCAAAGACTCTGAGCCCGACCTTCCTAAACCCTACATCCTAAGCTCTAGAACCTAAATCCTCGAAAGGCTCTCACCTTCCTTCACTCGTTCGGACCATCGCTCACCATGCCGCCGCTCGAGCGCTTCCTCGGAGAGGAGTTGGCGATTAAATGAAAGGCAGAAAAGGTCAGTTCCGAGCTGCAGCGGGTATATGCTGCATCATAGACAGCTTTGTAACAGTATGATGCTGCATACGGCAACCAAGAATGTAGTATGATGTGTAATATGTACGTACATACGCATGTTTTATAATTTTATAGTAGATACTGCTCGTAATAATAATCATGATAGTATCTAGTAACAATCATCGCAACAATGTAATATTAGCCACAATATCAGAAGTGATGAAAGTAAAAACAATAACATTTGCACATGCATGTGGACCAAGTCCGCCAACGCTGCACCTTCTTGACTGTTTTCGGATTGCAACTTGACTGGCTACGCTATGCTCTGCTAACCCCATCACGTCTGCCGTGGCTGGCTATTACTCGACTGAGCGCATCTCGTAGCCACGAGATCAGGAGCCCCCCCCGCCGTGTGGAAACAACAGAAGCAAAGAAGCGAGCAGCCTTGCGATTTGGGTGGCCTTTTGGCCATCTACCAGCAGATGGATGTTGCGAAGCACAAATGCCGTTGCTGTGATGGAATGCGTTCGGGCGATTCTGAGCGCAGCAGCAAACGACTTCAGGGCATACGGGTTATAGACACCAGAATCTTGTGCTGTGTAGCTCAACCAGCAAAGGAGGAACGCCACCTGCTAGATCGGACCAGTCGCGAGGGCATGCATGTAACCTGTCGGCATATACACACCGACACAGTCTGAAACTACCTGAGTGAGCCCAGACATCTAGGATTCAAGAACTGCTAATAATTCCCAATTGCCCAGCGCAGGAAGCCCTCACTGCCATCAGGCGACGATAAGCTGCGTTGCGCGGCGACTGACGAGACGCAAGCGAAGGCGGTCAACGACTTGCTCCTTTCAGTCGGAGGCCGATCCAAAATGTCGAGACGTTTAGCAGCTTAGCAAGGTTGTGGATTCCGGAGGGCATCCTGAGGCCTACCTGGAGAAGGACATGCAGGTCCGCAGGTATAGCATCTTCTCAGCTTTCGTGCAATACTTTGCACAGGCTTCAAGGCGGATGGCACATGACCACCACGGACGTTTGGCATCGCTAGCAAACTAACGTTGGCTGTGGAAATGGGTCTCATAGCCATTCAAAAAGGGTAGCTTCTATGCAGGGTTGCATCCTCAGTTACAAGACGCACCCGAGATGATCCAGTTGTGCAAACAGGCTCTTCCCTGGCTTGAAACGAGCAGCGGGAGTTACGTCCGTATAAGATCAAGCAACCTCATTAAGCCATTAAGGTCGGGGGGTTGCCTGACATCGATACCCACGGAAAGGAGGTCGCAATGTCCAGCACTTCCAGCCGTGGAGGCTTAAGGCCCACACTGCCTGAAACTCCACATGGAAAACTGTTGCAAAATTGTGAAATCTAAACCACCGAAGTCTGCGCCCAACCCTGAAAGACTTGTTGCAAGCTCGGACACCCGCTTCCGCTCACCCGGTCCAGGGACTGGTGGCGGCTCAACCGGCCTCGAGGGCGATTTGCTGCGATAAGAAGCCTTGCTATTCGGCCTCGTTGCTCTGAGTCCTTGAGGGGTGACCGAGACCCCAAACTCCAAAGCCAGAACCCAACCCGAAATCCCACACCCCGGAACCCTGCACGAAAGCAGTCCTAAAACCCAGACCTGAACCAAATAACCTCGGGGACCCTGAGCCCTGCACCCGGTGCGCGGGGAGGACGCGGGGACCTTGGCCACAAGAGCGACGTTCAAAGTTCTTCCGATTGCATTTAGGCTCTAAGTTCTGGCATTTGCAGGACTTTTGGAAATAGGGTTTTGCAGCTTTGACAGGCGTTCGCGGGGTCATGGTAGGGTTCGGCGTGGTGAGATGCTGCTGGGAATCCACTGATGTTTGGTGATATTGATGCCGACAACATCCCAAAACACATCTCGAGGACTAAAGACAGCCAGAGGTTGGAAACCTCGCCACATTCTGAAGTTCGCAAGGCCCACGGGTCCCAAGCATCCCTGCGCCACTAATCCTAAGGCTTCTATATAGGGGCAATGCAAAGAGCTGCTTGCGGGTCGAGCCGCGTCTCTTAGCCGGTGTGCCTTGCAGGCGGAGGAATCACTGGAAGGACTTTGACAACGAGCATCGTACACGAGCATCAGCCACTGAAAGCAGCTATGCTTTGCTGGCATCGGCCCTCTTCATGCACTCCCTCTGCCAATGCAGACAACCTCCCAATCAAATTACCATTTCTTCTGCTATCAGCATTTATGAGTTTGCACGTTCGTTAATTTCTGAGCCACCGTCTAGCTATCGTTAGGATGTTGCGGCTACCGGCAGGATTCTTGTTTCCAAGATCGTGAAAAGCCAACTCCGTCGGGTCACTCGACGTGAAACGAGATGCACCTCGGCGGCACAATGGGCGGGGGATGATTATTGCACTTTGTCTTCGACTGGAGGGCCAAGGAGCGCGACACTGCCTGCCAATGTGGTTTAGCCATACTGTTGCTCGATTCCTCTGCGTAAGGCATTCCAAGCACCCTCAGCAATCCGTTTTTCATCCTTCGAGCCAGGCCCTCGCCCTCTCTCCGACAAGGCGCTCGCCGCCGGACAGGTATCGAGCGCTTGGCCACCCGCAGTGCACGCCGCCTAGAGCTCATTTGCCGACGAGATCGTGCATGCATGACAGGCAACTTAGCAGACCTTTCGCGTTGCCGAGCGCAGACCGCAAGTTTGGGATAGCTTACACAGTAGCGCGCCTGGCATTGTTGGCGGCCTTCTGCCGTGGGGCTGGCAGAGGCTGCTGAAGGCGGTAGACATACCTTGGCGAGAGGATTTCGGGCTCAAGGTAGAAGAGGTCGAGCAGATGTAGGTGGAAGAAGCGCGAGGTCCAGAAGAATAAGACTAAGAATCAGAACGCCGATACATCTCAGTCAGCATGATAAGCCGACGTCAAGTCGGACTCGTGCAAGCGAAAGCACATGTTCGACACACCAGCTGCAAACAAATGATTTGCTGGATCTGCTCCTGCAGATGCACCAAAGAGCATCTTGGATTGCACTGCAGAAACTTCAAGCACGCTCTCTACATAGCTCTGCTTATCTGAACTTAAACCCAAGTTGACAACGACTGGCCAAGCACCGGCAAAACACACAACGCTCTCCATCCAGCAATCATGTGAACAGCATGCGATTCCTTGGTGTCCTTCTCGATCTTGCTTAGCACGAATTCTCGGCACCTCGGCTTTCACTGCAGCTCGTCCTGAAAGAACACTCAACATATACCGGCAACAGTTCTTTAGCATTCCAGAATTCTGCTTGAAGCTGTGACACCCAGCTTGCGCTGACTGGTCATCGTCGTCTGCTGAAGATTAACTACACCTCCAACGCCTCCGGTCCTCGAACACATCACACTCCAATTAGCTTGCATCAAGCGGCAGATCTTCGATAGTTGTGAGGGTACCTGAGCCGTAGACTGAACCTCTTTGAGACCATATGTCGTCAACGCAATCTGTGATTTCGCAGCAGTGCAAGCCCGAGTTTGGAGTCAAATGAATTCGTTGATGCCCCTGCTTCCTTCGCCGGTCGCGAGCTACAGAGCCGAAATTTAGCTTCCTTCAATCTCCAGACTTTCTGATCGAGCAAGGGCGAGTTGCCACTTCAGTGCGGAAGACAGCTGCGCCCACCAGAAACAGGTTGCCAGCTGCACCGATGGGCACAGCGCGAACAAATGGAGTACTCGAGACTTAAAATTCTAAATCCATATTGTCGCATCGATCCAAACTGCATCTCCAACACCTCCTTTCATGCAAAACACTATCATGTATTTCACAACCAACTCCAGTCTGTCACACGATGAACATAATAGTCACTACTCATACTAGGCAGCCTCCCCGGACAACTCCGAGCGTCGACCGCCTTGGTATGGAATAGGCCAAGCCAAGGCCCGGAAACGGAACGAACTGTTGGAATGTCACGGTGCTCTGCGAAGTTTTGCTGGGGTCTGGTATGCCCTAGGACATGCTGCCAGAAGGGCTTCCAAGCATAGGGCTCGACAAAACCCGAGAGATGTGGAGTATTGAAGCTGGTGCAGGCTTCAGGGTCGGGGTGTGGCTTGGGCTTGGGTGTGGCTAGGAGTCTTAGGCTTAGGTCTGCGGAGTGTGATCTCGGGGCCCCGCTTTCTTTTCTGGGTCGTAAGAGATTCTCGAGCCATAAAGGTGGCAGTCGAAGAAGCGATCCACCAATTGACAACATGTTGGCGTCGTGTATCTTTATGCTCGATCAAGCATGCCTGCCTGCGAATCCCAGAGCCGCAGCAAGACCGAGCTGGCACAGAGGCACGGCTGCAGACCCGAATCAAGCGGCTTCCACCTTCACCTCGTCGAACTTCGACGCCGGAGTGCGGGATATCTTTCGTTTCGATGAGCCTTAGTGCAGCTTGCGTTCCGAGATGCCGGACTCGTCCAAACGTGCCCTGTGCTTGGGAATAGACCATAAGACCATAATCTGATTCTCTGATCCGAATCCAGGTGCCTGAAGAAGACGAG